TCTGATCACGTCTGATCACGTCTGATCACCGTCTGATCATGTCTGATCACATCAGTTTCATTTCCCCCACCAACCGCCCCCCCCCTCCCTCCACTCCCCCCTCCCCCCCCCGCACCACCACCACCAAAACAAACAACCCGTCTCGAGAGACACCCCTCTTCATTACTCCACTATGTCGCTCTCGCCGTCGCCCGCACGCACTCTGGAGCAGTCGCTGCTCGATGACTCGCTGGCAGCAGCCGAGGCTGAGGGTATTGTCCTCGAGGCCATTGCCTTTGAGCCGCCCATGCACTCGGCCACGGTCAAGAGCCAGGAGGCTGCCACCGTCGCCGAGCTGCGGAGACTCCGTGAGACGCTCGAGACGAACCTGGCCTCATGGGGCCCCGCAGCTCCGCTTGATGCAAAGTTCGATGAGTCTACCGTCACCGACCAGCTTGACGACCTCCTCCCGCCCATTGTGGACGGTGCAGAGGATGTTCTCCGTGCTGCCGGTACGTGCCAGCCAGCCGTTGTGTTGCCGTCAGCTCCCCCTCCGCCCGCCCACCCCCCCCCCCTTCCCTTGCCCCTCTTCCATCCGCCCTCCCTCCCCCCTCCCTCCCTTCTCCCCACCACTCACACACACGCTCTCTCTCATGATTATGTATGGGTGCAGAGGCTCTGCGCAGCGAGGAGGGCAACTCGCAGTATTCCGAGCTCAAGACGGTCCTGCAACGACTGCAGAGCGGGCAGGTCCGTGCCGGCGACAAGCTCGATGCGCTGGTGGCGTCTGTGGCGGATGCGGTGCGCAAGGCGCTGACTGAGCTGGATGGAACTCGCAACAGCGAGGCAGCCAAGGTTCTGCTCGCGGTGCTCACCGAGATCATTGCTAGCATCGAGCAGCTGGCAGCGGTGGTGGTGCCGGACATGCGGGTCCTCCACCAGCGGGCGCAGCGAGCCGAGGCTTCTGCCGAGGAGTTTGAGGTCGACCGAGCGAACTCGGACTGGACGGTGGCTATGACGCAGCGCGAGGCACAGGTGTTCGGCGAGGTGGACACAGTGCTTGACGAGACGCGGGCGCAGCTCCGCGAGTGCGAGGCCATCCACCACACCCTGTACTCGTACCAGGTCGAGCCACTGGCGCTGGACTCGTCGTCGTCGGCAGACGACCTCGAGCTTGTGCACGCCGCGCTCCGGCGGCTCCGTGAGCTGGAAGGTTCCGAGGAGCGCAAGTACGGGCAGCTCGAGCGTGGCCTCGACGCGCAGCTCGCACGGTTCAACAAAAAGGCGGAGACGTCCGAGGCGACGGTGACCATGCTCACTTCGCGCATCCAGTCGCTGCTCGGCGACCTCGCCGACGCACATGCCAAGGCATGGCGCGACCGCAAGAAGGTGCTTGTGTGCGAGCGGACCATGGCGCTGCTCCGCAAGAAGCAGCGGATCAACCAGTCGCTGGCCGAGGGCGAGGAGGAGGAGCTGCTCCGTCTCGAGCGCGACGTCAAGGCCGCCGCCGCCGCCGCCGCCATTGCCGACGCGGTCAACCATGATGCCGCGGCCTCGCTCCGCGCCATCGCCCAGGAGCGCGAAGCCGACCTGGTCACCGACCTCTTTGACCTCTACGTCGACCATCTCACTCTCCTCCGCCGCAAGTACTACCAGGTCTCACTCTCGGTCTTTGCCGCCGAGTCGGCCGTCGAGATCCTCCGCCAGGAGCAGGACGGCGTGCTGACCAAGAAGCAGCGTGCCAACGCTGCTAAGCGGCCCGATCTGGTCGCCGCCTGCAACGACCAACTCGCTACCCTCGAGACCAAGCTCAATGACGAGCTCGACCGCATTGCCACCCTCCAGGACCAGCTGGCCTCGCTCCAGGACGATTGGGAGGTCTCGATGGACACTCTCGAGGCTCTCGACATTACCGACGCCCAGCGGACCGAGCTGGCTGATGTCAAGACCGCGTGGAAGGCGCTGCTGGAGCAGATCCGCGCCCAGGCCGCCGCACACCGCCGCCTCGTCGACCTCGACAACCGGCTCGATGCCACCTTCCTCTCGCAGGCGTAGTGAGAGCGTCGTCGCTGTGTCCCTCTGTGCTTGTTAAATAGCCAATCTCTCCCCACACCGCGTTTGCCTCCCCACATCCTCGCTCACAGCAAGATGTCCGACTCGCCCGAGCCGCCACTCCAGCACTCATCCGAGAGAGTCGAGGTGGTGGAGAAGAGCGCCGAGGCGTGAATGTCGCCGAGATCCTGGTCAAAAGCCGAGAGCTGGATGTAGCGGGCAGCGCCGGGGCCGGCCCGAGGTGTGCAGTTCGGGAACAGTTGGCGCGGCGCAAGGCAGGCGAGGACAACAAGGCTGGTAGCGATGGCCACCGAAGCACCCGGAAGAGGACAACCGGTCCATGAGCGTGGTACACCGTGCCGCCGAGAAACGAACCGCATATTCCGCCCAGCCCGTAGTGGACAGCGCCTGTGACAGCCTGCGAGGTGGCGTCCAGCCCCGGCGGCGCCATGTCGGCGGCCTTGGCCACCGCGGCAGCCCAAAGGAGGCCAAAGGTGACGCCGTGGAGTGGCTCGATGGCCAGGATCCACCACGCGTGGCCGGGTGTGATGAACGAGTAGCCCAGAAGCCGGGCAATGTACACCACGTGCACAATGCCGAGAATGGGCCCAGTCCCAAACTTGTCAATGATCTGTCGCGAGACCTGGAAGATAGGCACCTCGGCGATGCAGGTCACGGTCAGCGAGATGCCCATGAGCGTGGTCGAGCCGCCAACATGCTCGATAAAGATAAAGAGAAAGGTCGAGATGAGGGCAAAGGCCGAGCCGAGAACAAACATGCAGAAGAGAAAGACGAGCCGCTCGCGCGAGGCCAGCAGGACCGCAAGCTTGCGAGCTGTGGATTTGGCTGACGACCACGCCCGTGCCGTCAAAGGCGCGGGATCGGCCGCTGCCGCAGTGCCCGCAGCCCCATCGGCAGAGCCGGAGCCGGAGCCGGAGCCGGAGCCGGAGCCGGAGGCCGATGTGGAGGCGACGGAGCCAGACTCAGCGTCAGGCTGCGAGCCAGGTGCGGCGAGTGAGGTCGGCTGGAGGCGGAGGCAGACAAAGAGCGCGGTTTGGCCGAGCGCAAAGAGGAGAAATCCTGAGTACATCGAGGTGGCGCCGATGAGCGCGCCCACCATGGGTGCCATGGTGCCCCAGCCGACGGCTCCCCATAGACGCTGCTTGCCGTAGTCAGAGCCGATGGCCTTGACCACGTTGACCACGTTGGCATCGAGGAGCGGGACGACAGCAGCGCCCGTGGCGGCGACGCCAAAGGTGATGGCGGCGACGGCAAGGAAAGAGTGGGCGAGGGCGAGCGAGAGACGGAGGAGCGATGAGAGCACAAGGGTGATCGAAAGGATGGCCATGCGGTGGCCTGAGGCATCGGCAACAGCCGAGATCAACGGAGCAGCCACGAGCTGGAGGGCCGGACGGATGGTGTTGATGGCTCCGACCTGGGCCGAGGAGAAGCCGAGGACTGAGAGGTAGTACCACGGGAGGAACGGAGTCAGCGACGCCGCTGCTGCAAAGTACAGGAGGTAGTACACCTTGGGCAAGATGCCGAGGAGGCCACCGCGCCGTGTGGGGAGGTACATGGCCCGGGGGGGT